GTGACAAAATCATGGCTGTCAATGACTGTTGCTGTCTCACGACATTTAGGGTGACAAAATCATGGCTGTCAATGACTGTTGCTGTCTCACGACATTTAGGGTGACAAAATCATGGCTGTCAATGACTGTTGCTGTCTCACGACATTTAGGGTGACAAAATCATGGCTGTCAATGACTGTTGCTGTCTCACGACATTTATGGTGACAAAATCATGGCTGTCAATGACTGTTGCTGTCTCACACCGTTTATGTTACGGTACAGCTGTTGGAATAAATCTTCAATAGTAAAAGGTCAAACTAATTTATGAACTAGCATCCACCCCCACCACTTTTTTTTTATCTCTCCCCCCCCCCTTTTAATTTTTTTTTCTAAGCCCCGGTTTACGCTGTCTTGAGCAACGTAAACAGTCGTAAAAGTCACATTATTTTAGTCACAAAATGGTCCTCAAGCTCAGCTTTTATTACATTCATTAAATTTTTTTTAAAATTGTGTTAGAAAATGCCCAAGGGGAGAAAATTATACGCCACCAATGAAAAGGATATGCACAATTGCCCCCCTTTGTAGTCTCCATTCTACACTTTCTCTTTCATAGGGAACGAGTTCATTGTTCACTTCATCTTCTTTTGCTTGCGGTCTTCGCACCATATTTATCTCAATGGGCGTCTCATTCGCCCTTCACCGATGGTCATCTAACAAAAAGGTGTGTCTTGGTGGGCGAATTCTTGGTGCGCAATGGGGTTCATTCTGCGTGGATGGTCCCCCGTGCCGTGGGCACGTGACTGTGATTATTGTTGGGCTGTTAACGAGATGATTCGCTTGATTAACTGGAATAATCTTGTGGTGGCTTTCACGACATCACTGGTGCCTAGTCAAGTGGAGTCCGCCGGTGAAAAGGGGCGAGATGACATTTTAAATCCTTAAAAAAAACCCAAAAACATTAGTAAAATACCCAATCATTTCATCGGCTAAATGAAAAAGGGGATGATGCCTTAAAAAAAAAAAACACACACAAACAAACAAACACACACACACACACACGCGCGCACGCACGCATGGTGGCTTTCACGACACCACTGGTGCCTAGTCAAGTGGAGTCCGCCGGTGAAAAGGGGCGAGATAACATTTTAAATCCTTAAAAAAAACCCAAAAACATTACAAAAATACCCAATCATTTCATCGGCTAAATGAAAAAGGGGATGATGCCTTAAAAAAAAAAAACACACACAAACAAACAAACACACACACACACACACGCGCGCACGCACGCACACAAACACACACACACATGAAATCGAGGCTCAGACATGTTTCGACATTATAGTATACATTGTGCACATCCATTCGTATCACGGGACAGTCCCACGCCACCAATATTCACTGCTCAGTATTTAAAAAAAAACAAAAAAAAAAAATTTTTTTTAAAGGCATCATGACCCATTAGGAGACCTAATGAGTAGCGCGTAGTCATACTATCTCATCAGCGCAGTCTGTCAGGGAAAGACCTAGAAGTAAATAACGAGAGACCATCAAACAATCTTTTACAACACAAACCCGACCAGCGCACAATTTTGTCCCGCCTTGAACAAACGCGTACAGACTATAAATGTTTTATTGACTGGCTCCGCTGGTCACACAGGCCGAAACCTTTTGGTCCCGGCCGCTAATTAAACTCGCTCCTGTGTGCTTCCAGATATCAATTTGATAGGAACTGTAACTCAAACACGGAAAGGGGGGGCGGGGGTAGGGGGACGACCAACCCCTCCTCACGGCGATTTGTCCCCCCCCCCCCCCACTTTTTTTAAAGTTTGCTCGCGCACTGGATTCAGAAGTGTGCATTTGGGGGGGGGGGGGGGGGGGGGGGGGGGGGGGGTGGAGGGGTGGTGGGGGGGGGGGTGGGGGGGTGGAGAGGTGGGGAGGAAAGAGGGGGGGGGGGTATGCTTGAGCATCGGTAAACATAAGATTGAAAGGGAATAAAATTAGGATTTTAGATAAGGGACTCAAAGAGTGACGTGCCCCTGAGGTCAGATGATTGCCACCCCGTGTTGAGGTACATGCAGGCTTCCGTCCATGTATGGTCCAACTTCTGAAGCCTTCTCATTGAGATGACCCATCGCTTGTGTTAATTTGAAAGGACGGTCATAATATCCTACTGCTGGCGGCGGGCGAACAGGGATACACGATCACAATTGGGTAAAAAAAAAAAAGAAGAAGAAAATCTTTGGGATAAGGGTTCAAAGGTCAATCAAATTCCAAGAAAACAACGTTCTTTGTTAGGACACAAATACATTTTCGGTCTGGCAACATTGCATCTGACCCGTGTAAGTGTAAGTGTAAGAGAGAACAGCGTCCGACATGTTGTGTGGTTGGTTATGGCTCGGCAGTAAGCGTGACAGCACATCTTGTTTAAAATGGTATACGACGTTGGGGACCTCTTCACCTGTTAACTGTTACTTTACGCTAATTAATTTCAGGGTTGTATCAAATCATCTTATCCTTTTTACCATTGATAATTGTATTCTCCGTATAGATCGATTCAATAAATCAAGTTTCTCCCTTTCTAATCGAGTGGGGAAACGTCGGTTGAAACAAAACTATGTCGGGGTGCTACAGCTTTTGCGCTTGAGCAACTGCTGGGTTTGGTAGGTCAAAGGTCAAACAGAAATTCTGAGATTGAGTAGCAAGACCAAAAAAAAAAAAAAAAAAAAAAAAAAAAAGAAACAAGTGGCGATTGAATACTTTAAAAAATGCATCATATAGTGAATGTGTCGGCTAAACGCCTCAATCGGTGAACAACATGTGATGACGGGTAAAAATTAAACAAAAATAAACTAAGCTCACCTTATGAGCTACGCATTCTTTTAGTGTTCAACTTAAGCAAACGCTCCGCCCATCCAGCGGCGGCTCACGGTTTAAAGTAGTGGTGGGTGCTGGAGTGCCCATGAGCTCCACACAAGCCGTCACAGGTGCCATCTGTTAAACCATTTTTAGGGAGTTATTTAGGTTAAAGTTGATTCTTTAGAATGAAAACTTTAATTTTTATTGCTACCATACAGTAGAAAATACTTTTATTTCATCAGTGGGCTACCAAGATGGTGCCATAGATAGATGTTCAATGCTACCCACCGTCTTTGTCTAATCCGTTTAAGCAATTTACCATTAAAAAAAAAAAAAAACGTTTTTTTAAAATCACATTAACTTTCCACTTTGTCTTATAGTTAAAATAAAAATACGGGGGCAAGCAGTCCAATGCGGCTGTTGTAGTAGAGGTAATATCTACACCACCGTGGCGTGGCCACACGAGACAAGAGTGTAATGCTGTTGGAGTAGAGGTAATATCTACACCACCGTGGCGTGGCCACACTAGACAAGAGTGTAATGCTGTTGGAGTAGAGGTAATATCTACACCACCGTGACGTGGGCACGATAGACAAGAGTGTAATGCTGTTGGAGTAGAGG